GAGTGAAAACACCTCTAGAACAGCTAGTTTACTGAATTACCAGACATAGAAACTGCCATGTCAAAGAGTCTCCATCTTGGCAGAATTTGGCTTCAGTTTATTGGCCTTCATCCAGTCCAGTAACAGAATCCAAATGGAAGCACAGCAGTGTCTCAGATGATAAGGGTAAATAGGGTTGAGTGTACTCAGAGTGAATTTTTAGAATGATTGAAAAAATCAGATTGATTTAAATCATGACTTAAATTTAAAAATCAATTTTTTAAAATCATAAAAAATCTGAATTGTTTAAAATCAATTTGATTTAAATCAACTGATTTAAATCAAATCCACCCTGATTGTACTGATGTACAACCAAGTTGGAAAAGAAGGAATGCCAAGCTATAGAGGATTATTGCAATTCCTGTGCAAAATGGCATTATTTTTCTGCAGGAGTGCAAGGACAAAAGAAGTTCCAAGCTGTAGTGAATCGTTATAATTCCTGTGCAGAAGGGATGTTGCTGGCACAGTGTTGACTAAGAAGGTCATTAAGATGTAGAGAACTTACATAGTTTCTTGTGCAGAACAACACCCAGTGTGGTGTATTGCAAAAAGTGATGGTTTAGGATTCAGGAGGGCTGAGTTCGAACTCCTGCTCAACTGGTAAAACCACTCCTTAAATATTTCATTTATTTTGAATATAAGTGAAATTAGGGTTACTGTAAGCTGGTTCCAGCTTAACTACATAACAGCAGCAGTGTAGAACAGGCAAAAAAATCAAATAGAAAAATTGGGAAAACAATACTGGGTTCTTGTTTTTATGAGAAGCCAGAAAATCTTGCTAGATCAGGGGGAAAGTCTTGCCAAAATCATGGTGTGAGAGACTAGATGAATCTCCAAGAAGAATAAATGTTAGAGATCTCAGTCTTTCACAATGAATGCTGTGTGTAAACAGCTCATGGGTTTCCAGTCGTGACAGATCATGTTTATTGTTAAAACAGTCTGACTGTCGATGGCAATATCCTGCACCATCCTAGTCAGAGAAGGCAAGATATCAACTCAGACAAAGCTAAGCTTAAATATCTGGAGATATTTAAGGTTAGATTTGTGTGAGTTGATATCTTGCCTTCCCTGATGAAAATAGAGCAGTATAATGCCATTGAAAGCTTGGACTATTTTAACAATAAACATGAATTTACATGACTGGAAACTGTGAACTGTTCACACAAATAATAAATATGTCAAATGCTCACATATTAAGCAGCTTGGCTGGACAAGGAATGTTTTCTGCTGGACAGCAGTTTTCACGTACCTCTAAATTCAGTTTTCTATTCTTCCAGGCATCTAATTCTTTATCTTTGTTTTTATTAGTGTAAATTTTATGGCTGGCTTGCAACATCATGATGTTTTAATGTTTTGATACAGATTTCACTAATTCATTTGTTTTGGTTATGATTTTATTATTTAGTGTTTTTAGTTTTGTAAAGTGAGGGCATCTGCCAGTTGCATGGCATGTAAAAGCTACATAAATAAACAAATAACCACTTTCTTCACCTCTGGACTTGTTAAAATGATTCAGGGCTCCCCAAAGGATTAAGCTGGGATCTCTGGAAATAAGAATCAGAAAGTCCCATTATATCAAGAGAAAGTCTGCTCATGCAATACGAAAAAAATAGAAATGTTTTTGTCTGACAACTAAATGATAGTGATATTCTTAGCTATTTCAAAAATTGTTCTGAAAGCAGTTGATCATTCATATTTTTATAAATGTCCTCAGTAGTGAAGATCCAAAAGGTTTTCTGCCAAATGAACTGCATTACTTTTTTGGTAGAGAAGAAGGCAAAAGTTAGATTAGATTTTTGTTCAGTTGTTTGGATATCTCTTACTGTTTCAAAAGGACAGATAGGTGTCTTTTAAGCTTCTTGATACCCAGTGATGTCAGTTGTAGCAAACTGTGTGCTTCTTGAATTAAATTATAGAATATGTTCTTGAGAATTTAGCTCTGGATGTTAACAGGAATAATTTTGGGTAATGTGTTATATCCTAAACATACTTCAGACAGATGTTTGCACGCAGCAGACTGTCTGAATACTTTAGATCTGTGCCTCATATTGCTTTTTTCAACAATTCACTTTCTTTCCTTCCTTTGCTTCTCCTTTTGGAAATTTTTCAAAGCCTAATTGTCAGTATGATGACTGGTTAATATATGTGTTTTATATACCATCAAGTCTCATCCAATATATAGCAACCTTAGTAGGGTTTTCAAGGTAAGTTAGATATTTAAGGAGTGGTTTTTACCAGCAAATTTATATGATGGAGCAGGGATTAAAACCCAGGTATCCTGAGACCTAGTTTGTCACTCTGCCCACTACATCACACAGGGTACGATTGTTTAGTACCTTCAGAATATTAGCTTTTCCATTGCAAATATTGTCTTCATTGTATTCTTTTTTTTTTTTTGGCCAGGGAAAACAACAACCAAGCATACCTTATTTATGCTTGGATGCAACTGCTCCTGCAAACCCTTAGTTCCAGTACTCAATTGTTGTTGTTCAGGCCACAGTGGAAGAACAATATATCTCCATCATGCCTGGGCTCAAGTGGTGCTGGCAACCAGAGTCTCTTAAGCTGTCAATTGCAGTTGTGTGGGGATTTTCTCACAGTTTGGAACTGCTAGCTGATGGAATGAAACCAGTTAGAGGTGTGGGTCCTGAAGTGTCATACAAAGACAAAGCTATTTGCTTGCACAACAACATGGAAAGGTGTTTAACATTGATGAGTATGCAAGCTACTACGTAGCCCAATATGAGCCTGAAAGATAGTGGAGATAGTAGGGGTGGGTTCTTGGGCTGTCAAGAAGTTGTGTCTTTGCTTTCTCACTTCTCTTTTCCTTTGTTCATCCTTGGTTCTTTTTGTGTAGCATATACACACAAGTGCATACACATTGTACATTGAACATCTACTTCAGTTTCCAGAGATTTATGAAATATTTTCCCCCAGCACTGCTTGGGTGGCAGACTTCTTAAATTATAGAAATCTACGTGTGTATACAAGAATGCTGAGTTGCTTAAGTACTTCTTAATGTTCATCTGCTTAAGTATGATAAGGAGACCTCATTTCCATGAATATTATACAGTGGCTGTAGCCTAAATTATGGTTGATGAGATGTTTCCATATTATTTCCCATAGAGAGACAAATTATGAAGACTCTGTTTTTTCTCCTTTTGGCAATCTTTTAATTGCATCAGTTGTTTCTAGTATTGAAGTTATACCTCTCATGCTTGTCCTTTCTAAGATGACAATGTAGAGTGTTAATTATAAAGTCAAAGTTATAATTTTCTAACACAAAAAACTTTTGTGTACAACTATTTGTACACAAATATGATCCTGGAATGTGTTTTCTGTGGAAAACAGCACAACATATGCCTTTGTAACATGTGAGATTTGTTTCTTTGAATGATGGGCTTACGTAACAGCTTCTTCTCCCCTGAGACTTGGTGTGGGTTCCTTGGAGGTCAACTTAGAACTAGTTGAGAGAAGTTAATTCACTTCATACAGTGAGTCTAAAATGCAATCTTGGTATTGACTCATTGGCTGAAATCCTGTTGTTTAGTGTTAGTCAGATTGTAAACTTTAGTCTGTTATTCTCTGGCGGACGCAGCATCTCCTTGCACTTCTTGGGGTATGCATATGTTTTTCTCTGTGATATTTCTTAATTCACTTGGCAGAGTTTATCAAAATAATAGATAGATGTTTCCTTTATTTCTATTGAGACTGCTGTCAGGCAAAGGTAAGCTACAATGAAATTATGTCGAAAACAACACATAAAACCTCACAAATACACTAAAGTATTGAGTAAATTTGCCACACACCTGTGGGTATGTTGTAAATTGCAGTTGCACCAGATGTAATTTTTCCATGGAGTTAGCCTAAGCTTAGGAAATCTTGAGTAGGTCTGTTGATGAGATTATATATGCATTTTAAAACTCGGTCTTTGTTTTCCTAAATCAAGAATATTTTTTCATGCCATTGGAATCCTTTTTAGATTTGAGAATTAATATGCTTACCTAGATTACCTCTGTTTTAGATCCAGTTTGCTGATGAACTTGTCAGTAGAATTACAGTGCAGATATATTGAACAGAATACAATGTTTACATGGCAGTTAGAGAGCTGTTCTACCTTCTGCTGGTTTAATGGATCCCAGTCTCATAATTTGGCCTTGGGGGTTCCCACCAAATTATGTGATTGAGAGTTTGTTAATTCCAGATATCCCATCCCTACTGAAAATCTTTGAAAGCCATGTCTCCTCATCATTTTTTTTATTCAATTAAAAACCTATAATTGAAAATAGGATATTGCATCTCATATCAGCTCACAAGCAGGTAGCACTATTATTGTGGGGGGGGGGCTGCAACTGCAGTAATTCCAATATGCAGGACCAATATTTTCTGAACTCTCCTTTATTATTCATGCCGAACAACTGGCCAAAATGTTGACGGTGAATACCATTTTATGAAAAATGTTGAAAAACAAAGCATAAAATCTATCCATGGCCTTACAACTGAATCTAGAAATATATATAGTGCTACCTGCTTGTGAGCTGATATGAGATGCAATACCTTAGTTTCAATTATAGGTTTTTAATTGAATAAAAAAAATGATAAGGAGATATGGCTTTCAAAGATTTTCAGTAGGGATGGGATTTCTGGAATTAACAAACTCTCAATCACATAATTTGGCGGGAACCCCCAAGGCCAAATTAAACCAGCAGAAGGTAGAACAGCTCTCTAACTGCCATGCCATTCTCATGCTGCTGCTTCATACCCATAGAAGAGCGCCCTGCTGTACTGTGGAAGTCATAAGGATTCCCTGAGACTTGCAAAGGTGAATAAGTGACTAAGTTCTGATGGAGGCTTCCATTCAGTCTGTTGTTACCAGAAGTTCATATAACAGGCAACTCATGTTTCATGGGGTGAATTGTATCATTAAATTATTATTTCTTTTTTTTGTTCATGTTTAACAGATTAAAAGGTTTTCTGTGGACAGTTACGCGTACTGCTCATTTGAGGCTGGACAAGAACTTCCAACTTTTGGCAACTGAAGATGTCGTTGCTATGGAAACAGATCTTCCTGCTTTCCTTTGTTGGCTGCCTTGGAGGTAAGGATGTATGTAAATCTATAATTTCTAAATTAAAGCGGCTGTTCCCTCATTTTTTTTGTCACATAAAATCCTTGAATAGTAAAACTGTGGTGGGTGGAAGAAAACAACTAGGTGTCTAAAACAAAATGATTGCTAATATCCTGGGTGTGTGAGAGCATTTTAAAATATGGCATCCAAACTGTTGTGCAAATAAATAAGCTATATGTTGCTCTTTGCTGATCTAATTTATCATTTTTGAGATTTCTTGAACATAAGCAGAGCTGGATCATACTTCACTGATGAATTCAATACAATGTTCTTAAAAGGTGTGTCAGGATTACTACTGCTGATTAGATACATTTTTTATGTTTTGCATCCAGATAAAGGTCTTCTTAATATTTCACAAGGTTGTAAAGAAAAACTGCAGATGTGTGAATTCAACAGAGCAACAGCACTACCTTGTGCAATCTATAGGTTCAACACAGAAAAAATATCTTTTTTAAAAAAAAAACATAGTTCATGAAAACTGAATTCAAATTGTGAAAGACGCCATATATGCGTTTCATTCATATGAGGAGAAATCACCTACATGCAGCTACTTAAAAATTCAGTTTACAAGAATGTGAGTTACAGTGGTTATAAAGAGCAGGCCAATTTCAACCAGTTATTTGGATCAGTAACATAAGCTGTTGACATGTGTCTAGAAAGTCTGATAATGTAATACCTCAGTGCCATGACCATCTATTTCTGGGAATGAGTTTGTGCTACCAGTCTAGAATATGGAGAGAATTATAACTGGAAGGAAACAGGCTTCCCATACAGGAGATCCATGATTTAACCCTGGACCACCTCTAAATAGGGCAATGAAAGATGGCTGCCTGAAACCCTGAAAATGTGCTTTAAGTCAGTGTATACATAGTTGAGTCAGATAGACCAAGGCTTTGGATCGGTGTAAGAAAATTTCTTATGTTCAGAAGTCCAAAATAACTGGTAGATCTACACTTCTACATTTACCTACATTTATTTCGCTGTTCTGTCACTCTGGCTCTTTCTTATGATTTTTCGAATGTATAATGATCAGTAGGAACATTGATCAGAGTGCTGTTGCCTTTGGACATCTTGGCTGTGTGCCCATTTGCAAAACTGAGAGTTGCCCTGGCATCTCACCAGTTAGATGCAAGTGTCCACAGCAAGTTATTGCTAACCTTATATGGTTATAAGGTTCCAGCCAATCCTTTCTGTTGCAGTTAGATAAATATAACAGCTTGCAATATCTATGACCTTGCACTTACATTCATACCCATGATATATTGGAAGTATGTTGTCACAGTATTGTGTATGCACAAGATAAGTAGAACTCCATTTGTGAGATAGTACTGCAGGAACTAAATGAACTGTCTAAGAACTTTACTCAGCCCATCTCACCTTGATTGATAAAGAAGACATATGTTGAGTCACATATTATGAATTCCTTTTCTTTACCTCTTGTAGATCAAGATGCTAAGGCTTTTATTATTGTACAGGATGGGTGCAAGACACTTTGCTTCTTGAGGCAGAGTGACAAGTAGCGCCCGATCACTACCTTTGTCCATGACACATAATATCCAGGCCCAAGGCATACAAGCTCCTGTTGCAATATTTGGAAATACATGTATAGAAATAAGAACTTAATGATTTAATTTATTGTTATTTCATAATGCCCAAAATATACTGTACTGCCTTAGGAATTTGTGGAAGACAGATTCAATGAGTACAAAAACATTTTTTTTCCCAATCCCGACCATTGTTGATATTTTGCTTTAGGCAAATCTCTGCAAAAGACTGGCAGATTTCCTGGAGCAGTAGCAGGGAGAAATGCTGAGCAGTATATTTTGTTTTGCCTTGTTTTATGCCCTTCCCAACTGTCTACACAAGATTAAATTTGACAGTCCTGTACTGTTGTGCCTGAAGTACTATGCAGTGAAGGATTTCTGTATCTCTGTGGCGCTTCTGTTAATTTCAGATTGTTAATGCTGGTCAATTTCAAATGCCTGTGTTAGTCAGCCTTGTATTGGTACAGCGTCATTTATAAATGACCAAGGTAAGACCATGAAATTGACTAGAACATAAAGGAGTGTAATATGTCAGCACAAGCAGTGCAAGACTGTCAAACTCAATCTTGAACAGCAAACAGCAGTAAGGATAAAATTGCTGTTTTTTAACACCAGAGAGTAGGGAATACAGTAACATAATTGTAAATGCAGAATGCTATATGATGTAAGATAATCGTGGCCAAAATCCTGTTTATATTCAATAAGGTTAACATGCAGTTGTTTGCATAGTAACAGGTGGGATTTATCTAGGTGCTGATATGAATCCTATGACATCAGTCCTACACAGTATTCATGGAATTATGCACAGGTCTGTTTGCATGGATGCCTTGCTGAGTTTTTTTTCCCCCTGCGCTTTCTTTTTGTCTCCTGAGCGCATGGCCTGGGGGTGGGGCCTAGGGGTGGGACTTCCTCCTTTAAAAGAGTGTGTTCCAGGACCTCAAATTTTATATCTGGCCTTAATATGGTAAATAGGAAAGCCAATGAGATTTGCATAAGCCGGGTAGTCAGGAAAGTTTTAAGGATCAGATCATACTTTTGCACTATTAAAGAGCAGGCCGGGTAGGTGGGGCTCGTCAGCCATGGAAGGCAGCCCATCTAGCAGAAGGAAAACTCCAATTTCAAACCGCCACTGCCTTGTGGCTATATCCACTCATGGAAAAGGCTTCAGAAGTTAACCTCGAGGCAAAATCCGGAGCTGGAGTCCTGAAGGCAGCATGTGTCGTTCTGCCAACTCCTGCGACATTGCTGGAACCAGTTGTATTGGCTCTTGCCTTTCCATTGGACCATTTCAGCAATGTGGAGAGGGGGGATCTGCTGCTTGGGTAACAGCCTATCCTCCATATTACCTTACCCGGGCTTCATGCTCTGGAGAGGACACTCCTCGATTCAGAGCATGTTACCATAGTCTCTCGAGACTGAAGGATGCCTATGCTGCACAGGATTGTGGAGGGAAGAGACTGAGGATATTTTGATGGCTGGAAAATCCCAGGGAAGGAAATTTAAAAAGTGAGATAATCCAATAGAAAGCTATGGGACTGAGAAGCTTTTAGATCCACAGGCCTATATGTAACATACAGTAATATGCAATGATATGCTCTAATTATTTAATGATTATTATTATCTGCCTAATGGTAGAGCCATTCTTGCAACATATGTAAAAGGTGAATCATAGCTCCTATAGGCTCCTTATTCTTGCTTATTTGCTAAGGGAGGGATTTGGCTGGGGAGTCTGCAGAGCTAGAAACCACAAAAACAGTATTGGATTGCCAACCATCCTGGAGTAATCAGTGTGCTGAGAAAGCCAGAAGGAGGCCAAATAACAAAATACATTTTAAAATATTCCGTTACTGCTGATTGTTCTGTCCATTAATTGTTTGCCAAAGGTTATTACTTCCAAAGGTGGGAGAAATGTGATCAGGATTATCAGTATTTCACAAGTGTTTAAGTCTATGATGAGCAAAATAGGGGAAACCAAGTTCTCTGACATTTTGTTACAGTCACTGGGAAAGTTCATGAAGACTTTTTTTAAAAGGACTGTTTAGAAGACTAGGAGGTAAGACCACATTACTCTGAATTTTTTTAGGTGATGAGTGCATTGTTGATTAATTAGATATCTGACATGATTGTACAGTACATGGGGTTTGCTTCCTTCACATTTCAAGTGTGATTTCATAGACTTCATTTCTTGCGAATCTTGTAAAAATCAGCAGGCTAGATTTTAAGAGATATGTATTCTTTCTGGTTACATGTTTTTCTGGCAAAATGACTTTTACTCTCAGAAAGAAAAAAATGTTCCAATACATGAAAAGGCAGCTTTGAACAAAAAAAATCAATAATGGTCTCTTTTGACTTAGACATAAGAAGAGAAGAATCTTAGGCATGAGAAGAGAAACTGTGCATTTGTGAGGAAAATGACCTACACAAGTATTTGTTCACTATCAATACTGAAGCTCTATCTCAGAAGAAAAGAATTCCATACCACAGTTCAACTCCTGCCCTGCTTGTTAAAAACAGAGGAACAGTGTTTCACTCTTCTTCTGCTTTAAGAAGACAGATTCTCTAAACCAGCTCTTCTATCTTATGTCTCATCAAGTCACGTTCAGAATTTAGTGATCCTTAATGTAACATACACTTAAGAATTAGTGACTTTCAGTCATACTAGAAACAGGCTTGTTTATGTCTTCCAAATTCAAGGCTGTGATTTTCTTTGAGTCAATTTATCTCATGTTAGCTCTTTCTCTTCCTACTGCTTTCCACTTTTTTCAGCATTATTGTGTCTTCCATTAATGCTTATCTTCTCATGTTGCATTCGAAGTACAATAGTTTGAGCTTAGTCATTTTAACTTTTAGTAAGAGTTCAAATTTTGTGTTATACAGCAACCATGTATTTGTCTTTGTAGTGGACCACTATACCCTTCCTTCCAGAATCACGAATGAATGATTTCCCCCCCCTTTCTTCTATGTCGAACTTTCACATCTATATATAGCAATCTTCCTTCCTAGCTGCCGTTCCAATTTTCAGTCTTTTCCTGATTTCTTGGCTGTAGTCTCAATATTGTTTGATGATTGAACCAAGGTACAGAAAACTTTTACTCGTTTTGATTTCTTCATTGTCAACAGTAAAATTGAAAATTTATTTATTTATTTATTTATTGGATTTCTATCCCGCCCATCTAAACCAAAGGTCTACTCTGGGCAGCTTACAAATTTAAAAACAATAAAACTATTATTCTGTAGTCATGAGTTTGATCTTCCAAATGTTCAGCTATATCGTAGTTTTGTATCTTTTTCTTTAACCTTCTTCAGTAGTCATTTCATGTCGCTGTTGTTTCCTGCATGAAGCAGGATTGTCTTCCATCAATTTTAACTTTTCCTTTATATGAATGTAATCTGTTTTTTAATGTTATTTGCATACAGACTGAACAG